AATCGTAAATTACAATTAACACCGTGATCAACTTCTCTTAAGTAGTCGCCATAATTGTTTCCTAGTCCACTAGTTAACATACAAAACAGCTGCACCGAATGTTACGTGAGCGGAGTACGTGTTTGTCTCGGGCTCACAAAATTCGATTCAAGATATGGCGTAAAATCACGCCTGGTGGCGAGGCATTAATCTTTTAGATTCATATCTGAATTTTTAATTCAAATCCGAAAGGCTTCGACAATTCTGCGCACTAAGGTTTTGATTCCTGTGTGAGAATGATATTTCGACTTTCAAAGTTTACTTTGTCGTTTGACGAAGAAAGGCATTCCCTCTCTGCTAATATATTCGCCCCCGTGCGTTCTACCAGAGATTAGGTAGATTGTACCTACTCCCTTGCGGAACGCGTCATTTTCGGCCATACAACTTCGTTTGAAAAGCGTAGATCGATCTGGAGAAATCGGTAACCATTATTGTATTAACACCGATTGATCTAAAGAGTCAACTATTTCGCAACCGCTTTTATGACCGTCTATGTAAAAAGAAAGGATGCATAATACGCCTAACGATACAGACGGTGATTGCATGAGCAGAGGTACAGTCCATTTAGTTCTTATAATTAAGATAAATGAAAAATAATTGAAATGTAATATGATAAAAAATAATAATGCGGCTAAGAAGAAATCGGCGAAACGGGAAGGCCCCTCTATGTCCATGTAAAAGAACACCCAGAGAAAGTTCAAAATCTTGCTAACGGATAGTGCTTCCACATTTATCATTCTGAACGTCTTTCATGGGGCACACACTAGTTTCACAGAAAGATTGACAATTCACAAGATGCAAATGCTTTCCTCAGTCACTAACCGATTTTTACCGTGGTTATAGGAAGTCTTCATAGTATATTTCCGTTTGAAGCGTTCAAGCAGTGTCACTTTGAAATCTATTTCAGCTATCTATTTTCTTATATTCTTTCATTGTTTTCGCCCCTTGAATAGTTCTCCAGTTGATTTCCTTATGGCGATTCTGGAAAAGAAATATCAGAGATTGAGCCACATTATCAAATAGCAGCGCTTACGTATCATTCGCACTATTCAATTATTGAAGAAACATAAAATCCAAATTTTCTCATAAATAAGTAGATTCACAATTGGCAAAACATCGACGTTGCGGGTACACTTTTATTAGGAAATCGTAGAATAAAATATTGATGAGTGAAAACGAAACACATTTTTGGTGTAAAACGCTTTGGCATCAAATTATTCTGAGCGAGGTTTAGCGATCATCAAACTTTTCTGTTTTCATTCGCGTCAATGTTGGCTGGCCTCTGAGAAAGCTTTATTCACAACGAGCCGATTCCAGCCATTACAAGAACTGCTAAGGAATTTCACTAAAAATTTCAGAAACAGCAGGGGCGCAATACTTCGTTTCAGGCGATTGCGACAGTGCTGCCAGGGAATAATAGGAAATCTCGCACCCTGGCAGTAAAGCTGCAGCATGGATTCGAAGATCAATCGCATCTCGGATGACTCTTATGTGACGTAAACAACTTATGCAAACGGTCTAGGGCCTACCTATGTTGTTAGCGCCAGGGTCACGTATGAGCCCGCCCCCTCCCCCCATGACGAGGTCAAATTAACGATAGGTGTTACGTGTACCAAGGCTAGAAAATCAATATGAAATTGCGGGTTTCTGGAATTTATCCGGGAAGCTTCAAGGGTTTTTCGCGCCAATCATTTCGATTCGTGCCCTAGGATTTTGACTAGTACCTCGAACTCGTCATCGTTGTGTCTTTGTACCCTGTGTGTACGTAGAGGCTTACTTGAGTTTTTATTTGTTTTTCCGTCTAGGTGTTCTTTAATGAGAATGCAAAGTGGTCTGCCTGTTTCGCCACTGTATTCGCCACCACATGTCTTACAAGAGATAAGGTATACTGTAGCTACGTTCATGCAGTCGAGGTCTCTGCCGTTGGGACAAATAACGTAGTCCTTTATTTACTATTATAACTAAGAGAATTGAGTGGTGAACAAAAACACGGCCTCAGGCGGGAATCGAACCCACGTTTCATCCTATCCGGGGACGCGTGCTCTACCACTACACCACTGAGGTACATTTGCCCGACCACTCATTCTTCAACATCTCAATGTTAGCTATCAGCCACCAACCTTTTACAGGTTTCGTCGGGTATGCGATTTCGCTTTATAAACCCAGTTGAGCTGGTAGCTATTTGTATTACATAACGGGTCATACAAGCGGTTTCGAACTAATTGACGGCGCAGTGTTTAAGGAGGAATTTCTACAATTTCTACAGAATCTTCTAGACCACTGGTTTTTAGACACTTTTTAATTACGGTACTGACTTTGTCTGTTACGAAAGGTAGTATAAGAGGTACCTTGTTGTTTAGGTGTGGCGCCCTGTCGTTCCCATTGCGAAGCTTTCCGCTCCTTTTGGGCCTAACGTTAGTTGTTGTTCTTTCTTAGTACCCATTAGAAATTAGAGAGAAAAAGTAAATATATGTCTAGTAATTCCCTTCTTTCACGTCTCTGGTACAGGCACCTACAGCTGTTCGATACATATTTCGGATAAGTGCTTTTTTAGTATGTGAGGGATGAGAAGAAATGTAATGGACCAAGACGTTTTCGTTACTAGCCTTGCGATACCATTTTGTATTGTAGCCACTTAATGAATTAAACTTGAACGTTCAAGAAGGGAAGACAGCTCTTTGAATGTTATTGTTCTCTCGGCAACTCAATAAACTCTGACTGTCCGTTCAGAATTTGGAAGCATTTATCCATCTCTTCTTGCGTAGAGCAGATGACGAAACAGTCATTTATATCGATAGTAGAGTGTTGAATGCCGATGAAGAACTGGAGCTTCCACTTTTGACACGAGAGCGATGGCTAAGCTGGGTGCTAGTCTTTGCCCCATTGCCAACCCTCTACTTTGTTTGAAATATTTACGTGACCACCTAAATATCGAACAGCTTAGACGTGAGTTAAGGAATGTGATAAGCTGCTGGACAGACAAGCCAAACATATCTATGCTTTCTATGTTATCTATTAGTAATTCATGAGTGGCTTGTATTGCGACGTCACATGAGACGTTTGTACAGAGCGCTGAATCATCAAACGACTCCATTATGAACATATGATTTGGACGCGCATTTTTAAGGCGCTCTAGGAATATATTGGTGTTAGAAGATGGGCTGGTATGAACTTTGATAACTGCAACAATATGAGGCCAGGAAACCATGTTATCCTATCTGTCGGCCGCCTACACAGCTAATGATTGCTCTAACTTCGAACGTAGAGGGATCAGTAGACCCAAAATCATTAGGGGAAAGTCTATGTGTTAATGAGTGTTTAAAGGACAGGGAATGTTGGTGATTCAATGTTTAACTGACAGATAAAAGATTGTTGTAAGCCAGCAGCTTTTGCCGTTCTGACCCATTCTTCATTCAATTTTCACCATTGTGATTTATATTCCTTTTCAGAGGAACGTCGATAGAGAGAAGCGTCTTGGAGATGTTTCTCCGTTAATATCAACTTCAACTGACGGGAAATAACTACAAATTCCCCACCCAATCGCTAATAGATAACCGGATGTTTTTTGAGTTTATCAGCTCTAGGACTTCTTTCAAGCCATGTTTTTGTTTTCTGGTTAGGTTTGAGCTGAACTTGTTTTGTCGGTAGCGATTAAGTGCGTGGAAAAGTTTGTCCGAAAATGTACGGAAGATTGAGTCAATTTCGCTATCAGGTTGTTGCTGTTTGAAGGACGTTCGTGGAAAAGGAGGTGGTGGTAATGTTGCCTCTCTACGTTGTGCTAGAGTCAACCTTTCTTGTTTCGCTTCATAACGGAGTTGATCTAATACTTTAGGCAGATTACAAGCGGTAGCACGCGGCGATGTTTTGGAAAAAGGGTTGAGCAGGGGAAAACTTGGCCCCAATTCTAATAATGATTGCGCACTATCCGTGAGGGTTATGCCTCCTAATTTGGTAACTATTCGAGTTGTTCATAGTTGGTTGCTGACAGATTGGTGCGTTTTGGCATAGAAAGAGTGGTGGTAAAACAAGCGTTGGTAGTACAAATTGTCAGGCAGATTCCCCGGAAAGGGTGAAGTGCGGGTTCGAATCCTTCCTGAGATCAGATCTTTGCACATCAGCCAGCAACATTGTGTGTACCTGCGATTTTTGGCATTGTACGACTGTTAAGAAATCCGTCAACTAAAAAGTATTCTTATGAGATTGTTTATTGTAGAATTTATCGAATACAGCTCAGTGCAATGAAATAGCGGCCGACATTTTGACGGTATCTCATCCTTCAAGACCTGGAAAGGGCTAACTGATTGGCAATATACTCAGCCAAATACTACCGTGAATCTGACAGAAAAACGCGGTAAGCAAAATTCATGCACCTTCTCTCCAAAACATTTATCGTTCGGTTGTTTATGAGTTCATTTGCTCCGTCGGTCATAATCCAGTCTAAGATTTGCAAAAATCTCCTGTTAGCTCATCAACACAAGCACAGTAATGATAATCCACAGTGAGATTGAATGAATGGTGCTGTCCTATGTGTCAGCTGGTACTAATCTGACTGCTGTAGAATGGACTGCAATCACAGGAGCATATCAGAATCAGAAGACCTTCGGTCAAGAAGGGCCGTCACAATACTTGGTTGTCTATCAAGTGGTACAAAATCTCTTCAGTTCAGGGCAGTTGAAATTTTGTATAAAAGGACAGCGTTGAAATTCTCAGAATTTTTAGTGTCTTTACTGCATTTTTCGCAGTGTTATGATGTTTCATACATTCCTAAGAGAATTAAATGGTGAGCGAAAAACCGGGACGCGTGCTACCACTACACTACACCCTTTTGAGTATTACCTATCGCAATGGCTATCAGCTTAGCTGTATTTATAAAGCGAAATCGCATAGCCGATCAAACCTGTTAAAGGTTGGTGGGTGACAGCTAACATAGAGATGTTTAAGAATAAGTGGTCACGCGAATTCACCTCGTTGTGTAGTGGTAGCACGCGTCCCCGATATGGAAGGAACGCGAGTTCAACTCCCGTCTGAGGCCGTGTTTTTGTTCACAACTCAATTCTCTTCGCGTCAAAACAGTATTTCATTTGTACGATAATCCACAATTCTTGACTGGTCACGATGCGACGACTGCAGAATCGATTATCAGAAGGAGTACAACAGTTGTGAACACTCTGCTCGAATTATCGTGGCTCTGTCAAAAACGAAAACAACTTTGGCCATATTAGAGATTAACAAAAGCCTAGTGTCAGCTCATTATTGAAACAGAGTAGAGGACTATGAAATAGGTTGCTGCCCACCTGGTGTCCTAGAGTGTTTAGGGTATTTCAATGACTTGAGGCCGAATACTCAAGCGAATTACTTAAGTAGCGTTTAATAGTAGCTCCTTTTTCTTTGGAAATGAAAACAAGATAAATTTTGCTCATCTCCATCGAACTAATCGTCAGATGGAGTCGCTCTTCCTGCAAACCTAACTTAACAGCTCCCATCGTCCGCCATTCGAAATGGCTACTTTTCGTTGAGTTTACGGAACACTCCTCAAACTCTGTTGCTGTGCACATACTCATAGCCACCAGAAAAATTTTTTCACAAGTTGGAGTCTTTTGTGTGATTGATTATGGCATGCTAATGATATAATGTTTTTAGTATTTGGCCTGGTTTTTAGCATTACTCTGTGCTGTAGCGCTTTTGGATAGATTGAATCGAACGTTCAAGAGCGGAAGACAATTTGCTTCCGAACTCTCCCTGAAAAGTTTTGCGTATCCTGACTCTACATTAAACACTCAAAATATTTGTGCAACTTGTCTTACACATAGCAGATGACGGAGCAGTCACGCATTCGAAGTGATATAATGGCTAGAGATTGGTTACTAGTGTTCCCATTCACCATAAAGGTAATGACAAAACTTGGAGCCAGTCGTTGCACCATCGTCAACCCTCTCATTTGTGCGAAATACTGCGCAAACGATCTAAGTTGAGCAGTAACTCATCCAAAACCCGCAACGTGTGCAAGCTATCAGGCCTATGCTTCTTGGTGCTGCCTAGGGAGTTCAAGGGTATCCTGCAAGGTCTTGTCATTTGACGTGATATAAAAGACGCTGAAAAGATGCCGAAGCCTGCACTGCGTACGCATTGTTTGAGACACATTAAGTAGACGATTCTGAAGCATTTGCTTGTTTTCAAGATAAAATAAGGAGTCTTAAAACAACTGCAAAGCTATTAATATGTAGAAATTATAGCATTCTAAATGCTGATCGGTCTACTTAATCGATGATCGGCCAACTATGAATAGAAATAGATCAGTAGACGCAAGATCATCTGTGAAAAAATCGGACTTCACCAAATCTTGGTGCAAATAACCATCTTATTAATAACGAAAATGATCTTTCTCATCAAAAAAAGCTTCGGGTAAACACTTACTCCAGAGTCTTGTTCTATAAAAGCGCGCTGCTAAATGAGAATAATCAGGTCGAGCAATGCTTCAATTCATTGAGTTCACTTCGATGCGCATGCGGAGACTCATGCAACAGTAAAACGGATATGGGCTGCGCAAGTGCCGAAATGCTAGCCAAGCAAAACTATTTTAAAATATATTTCAATTCTAAAATACACAATATACATCAAACTTAAAGTTATTGCTCAGGTCCGCGGTGCTGATTGTGCTTCTGGAACTGCATGAAACTCATTTGTTACATCAGTCTGCAAAAAAACAACAGCGATCTGCTTTTCTTATTGTCCGAATATCGCTGGTTAGCCACAGCACTTTGATAGCGGAAAGGGAGTGCTGCGGTAGAACTGCTTGGCTTAACAATCAAATTGAAATGACACGAGGCTGCCTATTCGGCTAAATTTACCATTTATTAAAAACTCACAGCAGATCCGATGATCCAGCAATGCTGACTGCATTTTCAATTCACGATTCGTAGGCAAAACAAAGCACAACACTTTATTCTCCTAATGTGTGAATTCACCGTAATATGTCTAATAAGAGAGACTATTATTTTTTACGACGTGTAGTGTCGTTCATATAGAGAAAGAATGTTTATCAAAACAAATCGAACTTCTTGTGAATGGGATCCCAACTGAAGCATTCGAGGAATAACATACTTTAAAGGAAAGAATGAGTCCTACAGTTCTACTCTCTGTTTACGACGTTGTTTAAGTACCACTGAACGTGACTTCTGCACATAACCACCGCCCTGGGCGTTAGAGCAGTACGAAGCCATGAAATGAAGGCGAGTGATGTTTCTGCGCCGTATTTTTCAACATCTAGCGCACAAACCAATCACGACGACTTAATGGAGTAATGTTCTGCTTAGGCCAACAATTTTCGGCACTTCAATGATTAGTTTTCACAGTGTTCTTTTATTACTGTGCGGATTTCAATACTTCTAGCATTAAAATCGTTTTTTTGTCTTCACGTAGTAGATTAGTGATTGAGCGTGTCTCTCTACATTTCTGAGGATGGCCTGACTGTGACATTCCGTAAGGCATTTTTGTTGAATGCCGGAGAGTGCTGGAGAGGGGGGTTAGCCGCGCGCGCGCCGCGACTAGCATCACAACCGCTCGGTTACGGAGCCCTATTCAGATTAGTGAGCAATGAAGACTGAGGGATTTCATCCCATGAAATAATTAATCTCTATTTTCCACGGAATAACAAAAGGGGTAAGAAGGAAGTAAGAGACTTGAAAATGATGTTGAAATGCGATGAATACCGTGTTCACGGGCACTATAGTGTATTCAAGTGTGTTATGTGTCAAATAACAAACATTATCCATGCTCCTTTTGAGCTGCTGAGCTTCAGTATGGTCAATCAATAGTTGATTGCATCAGCTAATAAGCATAAATAACGATGTCATAAAACTTCATTGTGACTAACTTTATGACGCTTTCGCCTTCGTCGAGGTCTTGACGATCCGAATTTGGTGCCCACAACATTGTTCTGTTCGTGATGTTGGCCTTCGATCTTGTGCCGTAAGATGAAGCACATCACAAACAAAGTAGCGACTGACCTACCATTTTATACAGTTTTTTAGACATGTTTAGGTGAATTGACTTCACAAAGATCCTTTTGCGGCCGGCCTAGCACTGGCTGGAATTTGATAAAACATCAACGACGCTTGCATACAAAACCGTCTTGAAAGGTCTATAAATACATCAAGATCTCGAGTTATCGCTGAGAGTCCTCAGTAGAATGCCTTATTTTCTTCACACACTAATTTCGATTAACTAACCGCGACTCTATAAATGAAAGGATATTTACTATCAGGTGAAGAGAAAGCCAATACTTGTTTACACTTATCCACCGAGCGTTTCTGTTAGAGAAGTGATTATTTTTCCTAATCTCATAGTTCAACTTGTAATCAACGCTTGCATTTGACACAAAAACTTGTCTTGCAAAGCCATAAGTTTGGTAAACCGCATCGATACTGGTGTGTTTTCAAAAACTACTGATTAAATACTATACAAGTTTTACTCAAATAGCGCAGTAAAACAGCTTTGCTAATATGAATATCGATAAAACACTTCTATACAAGCAGTAGTTTGAAATCTCTTAATTGGTTTAGTATTAATTTGGAAACAGTGGAGTATTATATGAATACCCAAGGAGAATACTGTGGCAAAACTGTTCGTCGATCAGCAATTCAAATTTGATAAAGCGGTTTGTCACTCAGCGATTCAAATTTCATAAAGCGTCAGTGAACGAAAGACGAAATTCAGAATTGCTTATTCAGCTTCGATTATTGTTGGTGGAAATTCATTACAGCGACAATGATTAATACAGCCCTACCGGCAATTTCGATTTATCACTCGTGTAATAGAAGGACCAGAATTCACCATGTTTCTTATATTGAGATTTTAGCTAAGTTGTTGGAAATTGGTGAAACTTTCAATTTCGCACATTACATTACTCCCTATTGGGATGGCTTCAGTAGAGTGAAAGCGACGTGTTCCAAAACGATTTATATGACGGCCTCCAGCTGCAAAGAGTTTTTCAATATGTGATGTCCAAGCAGGCGTATACTGCACAGCACTCTCATTAACTGGAGAACAAGTTCTGCTTATATCAATCAAAAACTTGTTGAAATCGTAGTGAATGCAGCTTTGTATGGTAGTCCTCTTCCTGCAAGAAATAAACCTGTGCTGAAGCAAGAAAATCACAGAACCTCAACATTTTTCAAATTTAGCAAATTAACTTCCATTCACACTACAAAAACAAAAAAATTTTGTTGTAGCGCGGACAGTTACCTTCACCGTCACATGCTTCACTTTGCCTGTGCCATGGTTTACAAAGATTTACCCAAAGTTTCTGCCAGAGTGCCTGATATTGCAACTTGCTGGACAGGAGCTAAAGCATTTGTTGAACGTCTCGTAATGCAGACTTTAAGCTTATAACTTTAAGATTTCAAATTTCCTCCACAACCTTTGTAAGACATTAGAGGTCAACTCCATTATTCTAGAATCCGTCAGGCTTTTATTACTACAACGACATGTGACTTCACAGTGTTTGATTAGAGAAACTTTCGAATAGACTCTACTAGACTGGTGAAAAATTTGTTTTCGAGGTCTTTGAAGTTCTTGGAAGCCAAGGTTTTAGCGCTTTTCCATCTGATGCTGTAATCGCAAGCACCCTGTGTTAACTAATTGGTCGAGTCAGCTACAAACCAATGGACTGCAAGCTGGTTGTTAACTTTGGAGAGGCATGTGAGTCTGCAATTTTGAATGGCTTAGTTGGGAGATTACAAGCAGAGATATAAATGCCATTTGAAAGTGGTTAATGCGTTTATTATTCTTTAAATAGAGGAGCTAAGCTGTACAATTATCATGAAGTGTCCTAAAATATTAGAAACTATAGCAATGACACTGAAAATGTGTTCGAGTACATGAGAAAAATTTTTCTATTTGACTGCTTTTAAGACTTCGCTTGAGATTCAATACACCCTGGCAGCATATTTCAAACTTCTTAAAAGCCTCGCATAGCATTTTCAGTGCTAGACTTACGTTTCAGTTTTCTCTCAAGCCTCATTAGTAGCACATGCCT